GAACTTCCTTTTTGACCGCGCTTTCAGCTAACTTTCCCCTCTCTTCCCTTCGACCCCAGCTCAGGTACGAATACTGGACTGCCCGGCACATTGGGATATGCTCCGACATGAAACGTGGTATATAAATGTAAATTTGTATTGTTGTATAGAGATGAGATACTGACCTAGGCTGACACAATCCTAGTGTTGCCCATTTAGCTGAAATTAGTTAATTCAGCAAAACTGAAGAATGTGTGTGTGTGGTTCATTTCCATACCGGGCAAGCTCTTTAGTAACTGGGTCATAAGTGAAGCTCCCAGGCCCAGAAGGAAGCAAGCTCGTGAGCTGAGAATTTCTTTCAAAGATTAAGAGCAATTAAAACGAAGATCGTGGATAACTCTAACGCACCGCAATCTCAGGGACTCTGGAATCCTGAAAGCCAGAGTTAAAAAGTCTTTTCAGACGTCTTAGTACTCAACTCCCCCTCCCAACCATTATTTGGCAAGCAGACAATGCCAAACTTCTTGAACAATTGGCAAATATACGCACAAATATCTTGACAACACTGCAAGGTATTGAACATTACCAGGCCCACTCACTCCCCAAATTCACACAAGTCAGATCTCCCTAATGTAGAGGCAACTCGAGATCGAATTCAGAATGGGGCTTTACCTGATCTGAAACCAACATAACCGCTTGGTCTATATTACTATCTGCCTCCAGTCACAGCCTGCCTCTGGAAATTACTAATAATAAAAAAGTGGCACAAAATGCTGAAAAGCAGTGGATAATATAGATATAAATAGGTTACAAAAAAGGATGTCACTTATTGAATCTCATGCAAGACTAGAGTTTTGTTTTGTTCGAGAGTTTCGGGTAAGGGAACAGGTTATCAGCAAAAACAGTTAATTCCTTCCTTTGAAAGGCCCTGGATAAATATGATCATGGCTGAAAGCTGTAAGTATAGAGATAATCTAAGACTATTGAAACTCTATGCTAAGGCTATAGCCACTCAGCAGTGAATTATGTATATTGCCACCTAAGAGTTATTACGTGCAACGATCAGAGAGAAGGTTACAAATTCATTTTCTTGGAGCTTTTATTTTGGCTATTCACCTTTATAAAAATAATTGAAGAGAATTCATGGCCCATTAGATAAAATGGTTTGGTCATGCAAATAGCATAATCTCTCTCCATAGTTCGTTCTTTTCATTTTTCAGTGTTGCTGAAGTCCCAAATGTAGCAATACAAGATTTTATCAACCATAATTCTGGCTAGGATTTTACAATATCTATATCTTGTTATGTAATCCAGAATACAACAGCATTTCAATTATTATGAGGTCACAGGATTTCAGAATTTGACTCACTGTATTATCCAAAGAGTGTGTGGAAAGTTCAATTCAGAAGCTAGAAACAGAGGCCTGGAAGCTCCATTCAGAAGCGAGCACAGCTAATTCTGCAGTGATTATATCATTGGAACATGGGAATGTGCAGAGTGGAAAGGGCCACCTGGCTGCTCCAAAAGAAAAAACACACACGCTTTTCCATATCATACCATTCAATCGATATTTCATCAAACAACTAACTAATTTCCTGCTGATTTTGCTTATAACACATCTCTTCAAAGGACATTCCACTTATTCACCACTCTCTGTGTAAAATAATTTATTCTAAACGGCCTGTTAACCATTCACAAGGGGATTCCATTCCCCGTGGAGTTTGTGACATTACAATGAAGACTGAACCACTGAACTCCAACAATTATTTTAGTAATCCTTTATTGTACCCACTCCAATGCCAATATGCCCCTGCAATAACACTGAACCAGAACCATTCATAGTACTCTCGATAGGGCCAGATTAAAGTTCTGTACAGGTTCAGGATCATTTCTGTGACTTGAGTTTTGAGAACTCCTCTCACTCACCTGGCTCATTCCAGTCATGCCACTATAATAATAATAATCCTTGCATCTGATATAACACTTTATCATTGAAAGTTCTTCACAAGATACATAAAAAGGTTGAATTTTCTGACTTTTGGAGTTAGCCTTACAAGTTGTTATGGTACAGATGTAAGTGCCTGTTGTATTATTATCATCTACACCCTCTAGTGGTGAAACACTAAAATAAGAACAAATAAGGTTTATGGATACTGTTCCAAGAACATATTCTACTCCTCACATGAATATAAACCAAAGTGAAAAATATAATTCAAATCACAATTAGATCTCAACATAAAGATTGACTGGTTATTTTTTCAAACGTTTAAACTCTAACTGGTAATTAGCAATAAGACTACAAAGTAAGCTAGGTAAGGTGACAATAGCTAAACATTGCCGGGCTAAGTGTCTGATTTTTGCCTTGTTGCTGTTACAAGACATAAACCAGAGGAAAGAACAAGATGACCATAAAGGGCACCAATCACTGTTACAAGCACCATGAACACTCAAGCACGTAATGTTTGCAAGCCATCAGTTCAACTCTGTTCCAAAATCTATTTTTTTAAAAAAAAGGTATGATGTGGGGACAAGGTGAAGACATCTCAATTTACAAAGCAGTGTAATCTTCATTCCTGCTGTATAAAACTGATAATAGATACCAGGAACACACTAAGAAGAACTTTGTATGGACCGATTTTGGAGCCATCTGCACCCTGCTTGTATTCATAAGAACATAAGAAATGCTAGACAAAAAAAGACCCGTCAAGGTCCGTCTAGTTCACCTTCCACCTTCCTGGTGGTTGCATGCACGTATGTCCCAAACTACCTATGTACTATATCCCATAATGTTATTTCCTAAAAGAAAACTCTTATCTGTGTTTGAAAGAATCAACACTTACTGCTTCAACTGTCTCCCTCGGGAGCCTGTTCCACAGGTTCACCATTCACTCACTGAAATAGCGTTTGCGTAGATTCGTTCTGAATTTACCCCCTTCAATTGCAGGCCGTGTCCTCTGGTTTTACTATTCTCGACAAGTTGAAACAGCTATGATCTATACTGTCTAACCCCTTTAGAATCTTAAGACAGCAATCATCTCACCTCTCAATCTTTTCTTTTCCAGCGTGAACAAGCCCAATTTACTTAGTCGCACCTCAAAGTCCAGTCTTTCCATTCCCTCAATCATTTTGGTTGCCCTCCTCTGTATCTTCTCGATTTCTCCTATATCCTTTTTGTACTGCGGCGACCAGAATTTTACACAGAATTCTAAGTATGGTCTCACCATTGATTTATACAGTGGCAGGATTACACCACTATTTCGACTTGCTTTTGATCTTTTGATACATCCCAACATCTGGTTTGCTTTACTCACTGTTACAGAGCATTGTTGGGAGAACTTCAATTTAGTGTCAATGAGGACCCCCAGGTCCTTTTCATTTTCCATACATATTATTTTCCTTCCATTCAAATAATAGTCCCTCCAAGGATTTTGTATCCCCATGTGAAGGACTTTACATTTCTCCACATTGAATTTCATCTGCCACCGATCTGACCAATTTCCAAGTATGTTCAAATCCTCCTGTAAGCTATCTAGTTCAGCTTCGCAATCTACCACCTTCATTAGCTTAGTGTCATCTGCAAACTTAGCTACTGTGCTTGTAATTCATAGTTCCAGATTATTTATGAAAATATTAAACAAAAGAGGTTCAAAACCAGACCCTTGTGGAACTCCACTGGTAACATTTTCCCAGTCTGATGAATTTCCCTGTACCACCACCATCTGGGTTCTTCTGGTCAACCGATTGCATATCCATTGTAATATACCTCCACTGATTCCCGCTTTCTTTGCTTTCAGTACCAGCCTCTCAAGAGGAACTGTATCAAAGGCCTCACTGAAATCCAGATAAACAACATTCACAGCCTTACCCTTATCAAGCTCCCTTGCCACACCATCAAAGAAAACCAGTAAATTAGATCAGCAAGACCTTCCGTTCATGAAGCCATATTGGCTATTATTTCTGATTTTACTTCAGTCCAGATCTTCCATGATTTTATCCTTAATAAGAGTCTCCATAATTTTACCCACAATGGACGTCAAACTTACTGGTTTGTAGTTTCCTGGGTCATTTTTGTTACCTTTTTTAAAAAATAGAAAGGTATTGTGTTCACAATGATCCAAGAGAAATTTGTGGGGGGTGGGGGGGGAGAGAGGAGAAACAGCTACAACAAAAACTTGAATTTACATAGCATCCCCCACATAGGGTAGCGTCCCAGAGCGCTAGCTACAGTTTTGTGGCAACTGGGGACACAAGAACAAGATCTAAAAGAGAATTTAGGGGGAATTTCTTCACGAGTAGGGAATGAGAATGTGGACATAGCTGCCTGAAATGGCAGTTGAAGTAAATAGTATGGGTACATTTAAGAGGAATCTGGAATTACATATAAGAGATAAGGGAATAAAAGTGTATGGGAGGGAATAAGGAATGGGTGGACACTTACGTGGAGTATAAACACTGGCGGTGTCTAATTGGGGTGAATGACTGTTTCCATGCTGTACAGTCTATGTAAATACTTTCCAGTATCATTCAGAATTTCATTTCACTCCAACTTTATAATCGTTACATAATAATCCTTACATTTGATATAGCGATTTTCACGTCGGGAGGACGTCCCAAAGCGCTTCACAGAACACACTGTAAAGTAAATTGACTGTAAATTTGTGGGCGAATGCGGCAGCCAATTGCGCACAGCAATGTCCCACAAACAGTCGTAGATTGAAAATGACCAATTTTATTATTGTTTTTGGTTTTTGGAGAGATTATTATTAGGCGTGTGGAGTAAGGAAACTTGCCCAAGGTTTCGCCCTCTGCCTGGAATTGAACTCAGGTCTCTCACTTGCAAAGCGAGTGCTCTAACCACTGAGCTACAGGACTCCACAAACTTTAGGGCCATATTGAATCAGAAGTAAAACTTAATGTTTACGGCTTAGTGGAAATGAATGAATTGAATTAATCTGGTACTGATAAATTGTACCAATGCATAAAAACACCCAAAATCAACAAAGCTTTGAAAACTGACTTACCTTTAGTCCTGCTGCATATCCAACAGGCTGTGGGGCTATATTGGACTGGCCAGCCTCGCCTGTAATCGTGGCCAATCCAAATATATCCTGAAAAGCATCTCGCACAGCGGCTACTTTAACTTCTTTATTGGAAGTTACCAAAACATCCAAATCGCCACCTGATTCTAGAGAACAAGAAAAAATAATTATTTTGTTTTGGAGGTATGAGCTTCACAGGATTTTACTGTAAAGTGTAGTCCAATGCACCAGACAATTTGCATACAGCAATGTTCCCAAACAGCTAGTGGAGTGACCAATTTTATTTAGGGATTGTTGGCCAGGACACCAGAAGTGGTATAAAGGGATATTTAACATTCACCTGAACAAGCAGAGAGTCCCTCGGTTTAACATTTTGTCTGCAAATCAGCACCAGCAACATTGCAGCATACCTCCAACTAAATTGAAGTGACAACCCAGACTGTGTGTTCAAAGTTCTGACATAGGGCTTGAACCCACAGCCTTCTGACTCCGAAGTGAAAGTGCTTGCTAGTAGTGAGGCACTAAGTGTACAAGAGGAGGATGTGCAGCAATTAGAAGGAATAACTATAGAAAAGGAAGTGGTGCTGATGAAATTGATGGAACTCAAAGAGAACAAATCACAAACAACAACATTGCATTTATAGAGCGCCTTTCATGTCGGAAGGACGTCCCAAGGCAGTTGGGTCGGGACCCGAGCAGGAGGGAAATGGTCAGGGGGAGGGAAGGGAGGGAGCGAGGAGGGGGTAGAGAGTCGAGAGGGGAGCTGAAGGCATAGTTGAAGAGAAGACCTGATGCCATATATCTGAGAATGATGAAGAAGTCAGGGAAGAAATAGTACATTTTTCAAACACACTTGGATTTGAAAGTTGTGCCAGGAGACCTGGAGAGTGGTTCATTTAACACCTCTGTTTAGATAGGGAGGATGGGACTAGCCACGTAATTATAGGCCAGTCAGTCAAATGTCCACAGAGGGAAAACTTTTAGAGGCTACATTACTGGATATTAATAACCACTTGGAAAGACGTGAGTTGGTTAAATGGATTAGTTAAATGGAATTGTTAAAGGCAATTCTTGCTTGACAAATCTAATAAGAGTTTTTTGACCACATATATGGATCTTCAGAAAGCTTCTGATAAGGTGCCACATCCGAGGCTTGTTAAAAAAAATAGGGTACATGGTATTAATGGAAAGATAGCGGCATGCATGGTTAAAAGACTGGAAACAGAGGATGGAAGTCCAGGGTTGTTATTTGCAATGGAGAGATATAAATAGTGGTATCTCCGAGTGGTCAATAATAATAAGGACAAAGAAATATAAAGCAAAGAGGTAATGCTAAACTTACACAAATTGTTAGTTAGACCACAGTTAAAATATTGTGTCCAGTAATGGTCAACCAACTTTAAGAAAGATATCAAGGCAATAGAGCACAGCAGAGATTTATGAGGATGATACAAAACTTCAGCTCAATAAATCAGTCTGAAATGATCTGAACTTACTGATGTAAGGAACCATGCCTGGGTCCAGGGTAGTGATCATCGACTCCACGGAATGTTTGGTTTTATCCAAAACAGATTTCACCACTGGATTCCCAGCCACTCCCTTTATTTTAAAATAAAACAAAAATATATTTTAGTGAATTAAATAATATAGCAGTATGTCAGAACAATTCAACTAGTCACAAATAAACAACTTTAAGTGTTTTACTATGAATTTGATTCCTTTTCAAATATCATTTGATTTACTTTCAACTGTGTCACTGTCTAAAACCTCAATTTAAGTGAATGTTACTGTCCTTGAAACATGCCACGGTATGAATCCAGCGGCACCTATTTTTGCCAGCGACAATGGATGTAAGTGAATGATGAATGCAGTTTGGCTCTGTATCAAAAATCCACAATGAAGACCAATTGATAAAAGCAAACACATATTCCACATATAAATCACCTGCTTGTAGGCCTTCCCAACTCTTCCCTCCACAAGCTGCAGATCATCCAGAACTCTACAGCTCGTGTCCTCTTCTGCACCAGGCTCCATGTCCCCATCACATCCCCCCTCGCCCGGCTCCACTGGCTTCCCATCCCTCAGAAGATTGAGTTAAAAATCCTGGTCCTCACCTTCAAGGCCCTTCGTGGCCTTACCCCCTCCTACCTCTCTGACCTGCTGACAACCTATCAACCTGCCCGCTCCCTCCACTCCTGCTCCATGTCCTCCACCCGGCCCACCCCACCATCGGCAGTTGGGCCTTCAGCCTCTCTGCCACCACACTCTGGAACTCACATTCCCTTTGCCTCGCTCCCTCCATTGCCTCCTTCAAGGCAAGCCTCAAGATCCTCCTCTTTGACCATGCCTTCGGCCATCCTCCTACTCTCCCTGCCCCCCACCCAATCCGTGACTGTTCAGCACCTTGGGACGACTTCTAGACGTAAAATGCGCTTTACAAATATAATTTTGTATTATATTTTGTATTGTATATACCCTGTGGAGACTGAAGAGTGATTTCTGGGTCTTCTACTGTCGGCCCAGGTTAATCTAAACTTCATTGTTTGCACCTATGTAACTAGTGCACATCACTGCATAAATTGGGAAGAAGCAAAGTCAGGTACAGATGAAATATGTAGTAATTGACAAATATTGCGACTGAAGTAATTCGATAAGATTAGCCAGACAATCAAAAAATCCTACCATTAAGTAGTCTTAAATCTTAATGTCTGATTTTGATCTAAAACAGGCAAAAAATTCAGACTACTCGAAAGGCCACAATTCAACATAATGAACAGTTGTGTTCCACTCACAAATACATAGTAAGTCGACTTTATAATATATTCTGTGAAGCACTTTGAGACGTCTCAACGACCTATAAGGGATATACCAAATGCAAGGATTATTATTTTATTATAATGAGAGTGGATGAACTGTCCCATCACGATGATAGTAAACGTCTCAAAGCTTTGCAGGATATACTGTAAAGTGGAGTGACTATGTATTTGGAGGTGAACACAGCAGCCAATTTGCACACAGCAATGTACTGCAAACATCCAAAAACTGAATGACTAATTTTATCTGGAAATTTGCTATCTAGGACACCGGGAGAAACTTCTTTCTCTTCTTGAACTGCACGAAAAACTGGGACCTCTGTTTATCACCTCATCTGAAAGCCACCACTTATATGATAAGAGCGGTTCCCCAACACTGCATTGGTGTGTCAACTTAGTCTGTGAGTTCAAAATCCTTTACCCTGATCATGTCAAGTTCAGAACTTGTCTTGGTCAAATTTTCTGTCAGTTTCCCTTTTCGCCAAGATAGGGAGGTATGATACACCCAACTGTGTCTCAGCAAGGAGGTTACCAAGGTTAATGCTTTCTGAGTGGTTGTGTGCTCAGGGATCTCTGAAGGACAGGCTGTGCAGGTAATGATGCTAGGATTTTCATGCTAAAATTACAAATTTGCAAGAAGACTCGCTCCATGTAGCAATCTTCTGGCATTAGGTTCCCCACTAACACTGTCTGAAAATTCAGGAGATGGATTCTACAATCAGCGTTGTTATTTTAGATGTGTTATTTTAGAGTGTTGTTATTTTAGATACGTTTTGTCTGCTCACAGGAATTAGACTGTGTGTTTGTCAAGAGTTCCACCAACGTCATTATATCTGATCTAAGAGGCAGTAGGGAATTACATCTACTGCGTATGTATCTCGGGTAGTCACTTGGGCCCTCATATCCATATTATCTGTATCCTGGCAGGTTAAAGAGTAAATAAAGGAATTCCTTGTATAGAGAGTTGAAAACTATAGAATCACTTATCTGACAAGAGATCTGCATACTTAGCTGGTTAAATAATGTTTATATATGATATAATAGTGCCTTTCATAACTGGAGGTTGTCCCAAAGCACTTCAAAGCATATAATGTGCAGTACAGTGACTGTGTTTTATGGGCTGCTACCAATTTGCATACAGCAATGTCCCACAAATAGCCATAAAGTGAATGACCAATTTTATTTGGGGAAGTGTTGGCCAGGACACCACGAGAAACACCCTTCTCTTTTTGAATAGTGCAATGGGATCTTTAACATCCTTGTGAAAAGGCAGCTAAGCTAGGGTCTCGGTTAAACAACTCATCTGAAGAATGTCACCACCAATAATGCAGCACGGCACAGCACTACATTGGGGTGTCAGCTTAGACAATACGAGTCCCAAGTGCCGACATGGAGCTTGAACCCACAACCTTCTAATTCAGAGGTAAGAGTGTTGCTGACAGAGTCAGACAACCACACTATAAGTGGACCCATGCTATACTGGAGCACATTATAATACTGTCCTGAACCATTACTACTGCAGATATTTATGTATGGGTGTCAAACTTGACACTTTCATCCTAAAATTCTCCTTTTCAAAAAAAAGCACGAAAAAATTTAGCACATGACCAAAAAGCATTTTTTTTAGCAACAATATTGAGAATGCTTTACCTTAAAGAACCCCCACAATCCTCCCCCTGAAGCACTTTGCTCCTGTTGCAGAGACAATCTGGGATCCTCAGACTCTTCTGGGAAAGTGATGGAAGACCCACCTCCCACAGGAGCAGAAACCTGAGTCATGGTGTTTGGTACAATGCCTGTCGGGAATAAAACAGAGCAAAGAATCAGCCACGTGTTTATTCAATCATTTATAACCACAAAACCAAATCAAGATTAAATCTTAGTTAAAAAGGTTTCCTAACAAAAAAGTGGTATTAAGAACAGCATGCACAAATATGTTGTGCTAGAGCAGCATTCAGATTTCTCTCAACAATTTCCCTATGATCTGAGTCATTTAGTGGTTGGTTTCAGAGCAACAGTGGCCCATCAGCAGCTCACCTGTCCTCCTAGCTGGAGATGGAATATCACACGTTTGCTACTCAACCACACAAGGACATCACAACTGAGGCTAATTTTGTCTTTGTGTGGGCACTTTACAGCAGGAAACATTGCAAAAAGGAACAGGAGCAGGTACCATGGAAGATTTTCTATCTTCTATCTATTCTAAGTTCTAGGAACTTAGCAGTAGAACCATATCGTTACCTGGCCGGGAGTAACTAACAGCACAAACAGGCAAAATTGTCTATATAGCTCAGGGTAAAGCTTCCAAAACGAATCATTATTTTAGTATTTGCATCATATTAGGAATTACACATTAACAAGAGCAAATTACAGAACCAACAGAGTGTGACCATGGTAAAGAGCACTACGCACTGCAGAAGCCAAAATACATTTTATTTCAAACTTTATACATAAAAAAGCTTGAAAATCCGTTCTAGTCTGGAAGCACCGATTACTGCTGAGGTAAAGTGCTAAATCCTTTAGAGAAACGCTACAACAACAACAACAACAACACGATTCCATTTATTGAGCGCCTTTCACGTCGGGGGGACGTCCCAAGGCGCTGTACAGTTGGGTCAGGAACCGAGCAGGGGGGAAATGGTCAGGGTGAGGGGAGGGAAGGGAGGGAGCGAGGAGGGGGTAGAGAGTCGAGAGGGGAGCTGAAGGCACAGTCAAAGAGAAAGGTCTTGAGACCGGCCTTGAAGGAGGAAAGGGAGGAGGCGGCGAAGGCACTGGGGGATAGAGTTCCAGAGCCCAGGGGCTAAGAGGCTGAAGGCCCGGCCACCGATGGTAGGGCGGTTGGGGCGGGGGATGTAGAGCAGACCGGAGCCAGAGGAACGGAGGGTACGGGCAGGTAGGTAGGGGGATAGTAGGTCGGAGAGGTAGGAGGGAGCAAGGCTGTGAATGGCCTTGTAGGTGAGGATGAGGATCTTGAATTCGTTCCTCTGGGGGATGGAGAGCCAGTGGAGGTGAGCGAGGGTGGGAGTGATGTGGTCCTGGTGCGGGACAGTACACGAGCTGCAGAGTTCTGAATGACCTGCAGCTTGTGGAGGGAGGTGGCGGGAAGGCCGGCGAGGAGAGAGTTCCCATAGTCCAGCCTTGAGGTGACAAAGGCGTGGACCAGGGTTTCAGCAGCGTGAGGGGTGAGGTAGTGCCGTAGTCTGGCAACATTTCGGAGGTGATGGAAGGCGGTGCCAGTTGTGGTGCGGATGTGAGGGAGAAAGGACAGCTCAGGGTCGAACAGAACCCCGAGGTTCCTGACTGCTTTGAGAGGTGGAGAGTGCAGCCTTGGATGCTGATGGTGTCAGCGCCTGAGGTGCGGAGGCGCTGACGTGAGCCAATCAGGAGGGCCTCAGTTTTGCGCACGTTGAGCTGGAGAAAGTTATCTCTCGTCCAGGACTCGATGTTGGACAGGTAGCTGTCAGGACATCGGTGGTCGTGGAGTTGAGGGTAGAGGAGGAAAGGTAGAGTTGAGTGTCATCCGCATACATGTGGAAGTTAACCCCATGTCTGCGGATGATGTCACCAAGGGGGAGCATATAGAGGGTGAAGAGGAGGGGACCGAGGACAGAGCCTTGAGGGACACCGCACGAGACAGTGCGGGGGCCGGAGGAAAAACCATTTGTGGAGACAAAGTGAAGACGGTGGGAGAGGTACAACCTTAACCACTCAAGGACAGGGCCTTGAAGGTTTAGGTGGGAGGACAAGCGGTGGAGGAGGATAGCGTGGTCGACCGTATCGAATGCTGCGATAGGTCGAGGAGGACGAGGAGCAGAGGGAGCCCTGGTCACAGATGGTCAGGATGTCATTGGTGACCTTGACCAGGGCAGTTTCTGTGCTATGGGCAGCACGGAAACCCGACTGAAGGGGTTCGAATAGTGAATGGTTGGAGAGGAAAGAGCGCAGCTGGGAGGCGACAACTCATTCCAGGACTTTGGACAGGAAGGGGAGGTTGGAGATGGGCCGGTAGCTTGATAGCTGCGATGCATCAAGGGAGGGTTTTTTTAAGGTGGGAGTGATGGTGGCAGTTTTTAAGGGAATGGGAATAGAGCCAGAGGAGAGGGACAGGTTGACGATGTCTGTGATATGTGGGGCAAGGAGGTGGAGCTGGGAGATAAGGAGTGGAGTGGGGATGAGGTCAAAGGAGCAGGTGGTGGGTTTCAGGGATAAGATGAGTTTGGTGACAGAGGGTGGGGAAACGGGTACGAAGGTGTGAAGGGGAGGATGGGTAGGAGTCGGAGTGTGGGAGGGAAGGGGTGGGTGGTGGGTGGATGTTGGAGGGGAAGTGACTGCGGAGCGAATTCCCTTGATCTTGGATTCAAGGAAATCCAGCATCTCCTCGCAGTGAAGGTTGGAGGAGATGACCTGCGCGGGGTGGCGGGGGGACGGAGGAGTTGGGATGTGGTAGAGAACAGTAGCCTGGGGTTGTCCTTCGCCTCCAGGATTATCTACACCACTATCAGGATTTTGATAAAAAAAACGTTCCCATCAGGACAGTGATAAGGTGTTAATGGTTTTCTCTGCAACACAGTGGGCAAGGTGCAAGATAGGAAAACTGTTCCGAACTTGTTCTTAGACACATTAAAAAAACACTACATGGAACATTTTGCTAAAGATAATATTAAAAACATGGTACTGCACAATTTTTAGTTTAGACTAGTTAAGATTTAGCTAAATTGACATTTCAAAATGCAAACAGGCTACAAAACAAAAGTTTATACTTTTTTTATATATAGACTTCTACCTGAGACCGACAGCGAGGAAAATGTTGGCATCAGTGGAGTTTGTGGGGTTCGACCAGCATGGCCTCGAGTGATGTCATAGGTTGCACCCGTGGAGAAGCCAGTGATGGGTGGACCTATGGGAGGTGCAGAAAGGACAGACCCAGGAGGAGAGGCCGTAGGAGGAGCTGGAAGAGAAAAGTTTGCAGGAGGAGGAGTGCTAAAGCCTGTAGTGCTAACAGCAACTGCAGCTGGATGAATGGGAGAATTAACAGAAATTCCAAAGGATAGCGGGGTAGAGGTGCCTACAGGAGGCAAGTGAGTTCGAAGAGGAGCAGGAGGCGTGGAATACACTGAGGGGGGTAAGGAAGTGGTGATGGGGTTAGCTAAAGGGCTAGGTAAAGCTGCAGACAAGTGAAAAAGAAAAAATTAAGAAGTTTAAAGTATACCACATATAATCCACACAAATAGAGCTTTTCTTTCCTAGTTTCTAAAACAATAACTATACAAACCGAAGCATGCAGAATTGTACAGTGGCTGAATTTGAACAATGGCTCAATTTTCAAAGGCTAAAGTAATAATTCTGTAGAGCTCCCTTAAGATTGCCTTCAGTCAACTGAAGCACAAAAGTATTGTCATTCACTACAATGGAGTTTTCCATCCATAAAACGAAGCTCATTATTGTGGGTTTCTAGCATTTTCTCAGATTGTCAGTGTTTCACATTAACTTTGGAAGATATATACAATCTGTTTGTCAGGGCTTATCCATGGGAAAATGTTAAGTGCAGATATTCTGATAATCTTAGCCAAGAATCTGCTTAAACTTACATTTAAGATTAAATAGATTCAGCCAGCCAATCATAAGTGGGCTATCTGAATTTATTTAATCTCCATCTAGATTTGCATTTAGTTCTGTGGAGTCCTGGAGCTCAGTGGTTAGAGCACTTGCATCGCAAGTGAGAGACCTGGGTTTGATTCCCGGCAGGGCGAAACCTTGGGCAAGTTTCCTTACTCCACACGCCTAATAATAATCCCTCCAAAACTAAAAACAATAATTAAATTGGTCATTTTCAATCTACGACTGTTTGTGGGACATTGCTGTGCGCAATTGGCTGGCGTTCGCCCACAAATATACAGTCAATTCACTTTACAGTCTATTCTGTCAAGCGCTTTGAGATGTCCAGAAAACGTGAAAAGAGTTATGTCAAATGCAAGGATTATTATAATTATTTATTATTATCTATTTAATACTCCATCATTCATTTGGAAAGCACTGCAATTAAAGGAAAAGTAGGATCCCTGGTTTCTGCTAAATGCAAATCTAGGCTTAAAAGATTTTTTTCAAACTGGAACCAGACTGGTCAGATAAAACTGCACGAAATCTTGAGGACGTGATAATGCGCTATATCAAATGCAAGGATTATTATTATGATTATTATTGTGCAGGACAACCCCCACCCTACCCCGTTCAAACCAGCATTAAAACGCAATTCATAAAGTTTCATTCTGCTAAAGTCTAGTAGGAACTTCAATACAAATTGCAATTCACTTATGATATACAACAACAACAAAATTATATTTGTATAGCACCTTCCACGTCAAGAGGCCGTCCCAAGGCGCTGGACAATCAGTGTTTTGGATCCAGGTTGGGGGTTCGGATCGGGGAGGGTGGAGGGCAGGGGGATGAGAGTGATCAAAGACATGGTCAAAGAGGGTCTTGAAACGGGTCTTAAAGGAGGCAAGGGAAGGGGCAAGGTGGATGGACTGCAGGATGGAATTCCAGAGAGTGGGGGCAAAGTGTCTGAAGGCCCACACGCCAATGGTGGGGCGGGCGAAGCAGGGGACGTGACGCAGGCCGGAGCCCGCTGAGCAGAGGGCGCGGGCAGGTTGGTAGGGGTTACAAGGTTGCAGAGGTAGAGGGGAGCAAGGCCATGGAGGGCTTTGAAAGTGAGGAAAAGGATCTTGAACTGTATCCTCTGTGTTTGATTATAGAAAACATGATAAAGGATTAAACGTAACTATTCGTACCTATGCAGACTGGAGGATGACTTGCTGCCAAAGCCACACTAGGTGGAGGAGTGCTGGGGGGAGTCGTCTCTATCCCACTTTCCTCCATCATTTTTTTCCTCAGTCACAATTTACTACAAGTGAACAAACAAAGCAATATTAATTTTCTGGTCACACACATTAACAAAGATGAAAGAAGGTAATGTAACTCTGCATCTCACAAGATCATATCAGCAAAACAACTCGCCAATGCTTGACTGCCATTGGATGTATAATGGTGAGAGATGGTTCAAGCTCCAGGAATTTGAACATTTAAAGTGATTTTGTTTTCTGAATTAGTTCTTATTGGTCTTTGCCCCGAAGCCAAACAGAATGTTTATAGGGTGAATGGAGATATTATTACGGTATCCAACCTTGGTGACATTTTACTGCACAACATGTTAATCCTGATAACTCATCTTTTCAAGAGAATGGAGCTATCCAGAATGGCCAGTTAGGCATATGGATAAATACGTAAATAAATGCGACTGGGATATTGACAGCGTGATGATTTAAGTGCTAGTGACAAGTTAAGCCAGGATTGAGCTATCAGGAGTTTACTGGGACCTAAAAAAGGAGTAGGCTATAGGGGTATGGGGAAAGGGGAGGTAAATGGGACTGAATAGCCTTCTTCTGTGCTGTAAATTTCTATGACTAATAATAATAATAATAATAATAATAATTCCTTGCATTTGATATAGCGCTTTTCACGTCGGGAGAGACGTCCCAAAGCGCTTTACAGAACACACTGTAAAGTGAATTGACTGTATATTGTGGCAGAAACGCGGCAGCCAATTGCGCACAGCAATGTCCACAAACAGTCGTGGATTGAAAATGACCAATTTATTATTGTTTTTGGTTTTGGAGGGATTATTATTAGGCTCTGTGTGGAGTAAGGAAACTTGCCCAAGGTTTCGCCCTCTGCCTGGAATTGAACTCAGGTCTCTCACTTGCAAAGCGAGTGCTCTAACCACTGAGCTACAGGACTATATGTTAAGCATCTTGAACATAACATGCAATATATGTTATCCACCACTCACTACATTTCTAAAGTATATAACAGTCTGTGTTGAGGCCCAGCAATAACTTACATTTCTATAGCATTTTTTCAAGCAAAGGTCTTTGAAGCACTTTAGAAAATGAGATTAGAAATGAATGTTGCTATGGATGCAAACAGTTGAATATTGTTGGTATATCTGCTCTACCCTTTGGAACTCCATTCCACAGTCCGTTCTCCTCGCTCCCTCCTTTAAGACCCTCCTCTGCGACCGTGCCTTCGGTCACCTTCTACCCCTACATTCCCTGCCCTCCACTCCTCCTGACCCCAACCCCCAGCTCGGGTCCAAAACCTTGACTGCCCAGCACCTTGGGACACAAATGTAATTTGTTGTTGTTATATCAGAAGAATGAAGGATGAGCTAATTTGGTGCTAGGGCCAAGAGAAAAGCAAGAAAGCATCATACAGTTAAGATAATATGGATAATACAAAAATATTGAGGTGACCAAATAGCATTCGTGAACAATAACTTGCATGTATACAGTCCCCTTGACAGGGTAGCGAGTCAGAGCCCTGGACAAACAGGGAATGTAAATACATTCTATTGCAAAAAAACTGCACGACAACACATCAACCTGGGTACCAAAACCTCAATCAGTACACATTTTGAGGAGAAATGCAGCATTTTAGTGCTAAGATAAAAGAACGTAGATGGTGTTTTGGTTGCAATCATGTCAAACAATTTAGAGACTTCATAATTTAAATCATACTTCATTAGTCCTAGAGAATAATACAGTATGTGTAATCACTCAATAGAATTTTAAAAAGCTGCAAGTGTAGCTGCAAGAGAGCCAAAATGCCTCAAATGACTTGGCAAGTCTCAAAGTGCTTCACAGAATATAATGTAAAATTAAGTGACTGCGTTTTATGGGTGAGTATTAACTTGAGATAGTTCAAATATATATATTTTACAGCATTGTCTTCAGGCATTTTTTTAGAAATTTGGTCAGTGGGTGATTGATATGCACGGGAATCCATCACCATGCTTAGGGTATCCGAACCTTAGAGTTCCACATATGTATACCACCTATGCAAGGAAATTTCCCTGCATCTAGAAAGCAATGCACACTCACTCTCTCCCTGGAGGGATGGATCCCGCTTTAATAATTCCAGAGAATATTAGGCACAAAAATAAACATTCTCCTCCATCTTCAACTGCTTACCCATAAATCATAAGTCAATCAATATCTCCAGAACCGGTTAAAAAGTATTGTTACAAAACACTCAATTTCCTTGATAATAATAATAATCCTTGCATTTGATATAGCGCTTTTCACATCTTCTAGACGTCTCAAAGCGCTTCACAGAATATGCTGTAAAGTGGATTGACTGTATATTTGTGGGCTAAAAGCGGCAGCAGTGTCCCACAAAGTCATAGATTGAAAATGACCAATTTATTATTGTTTTGTTTATAATAATTACATGTGAAGCATTTTTAAATGCTAGCATGAAGAACGATTATAAAAATGCAAATATTTCTTCCATTCCTCAACTTGATATCATACTTGGCACTCTGTCAATTCAAAACTAGGTACTAATTGACACCTAGCTACAGAATTGGCATTAAGATAAATTATGATAAGTTTACAGCACAATAGAAACACACATCCAACTGGTATGAAGTGATCGAATAAAGCTTTAATATTTTATATTTTTCTGTGCAACTAAAAAGAGCATGTTTGGCTTGCTTCGAATTAGGGCCACAATGTATTCATTATGCTGTTAAGAGAGCCATTTCCCCAAGTCACTCCAGTAATCTACTCACAATAAAATCCTGCCACACCCACTGACCATAAATCATTGAATGGAGATAACAGATCAGTATTGACAAAGATCCTGATATACTTCTTGGTCTATTAGTTTCTTACCATCAAGAGGGAGAGGGGTGGTAAATGCATGGAACACATAGTCTTTGGGATACAATTTGTGAAATCTCCAAAAGGATTGGAATCTAAACTCTGTTTGGACACCAACCCTCTACAGTCTCCAAGGCCCCAAAGCAGAAGTCAAAATTGACTCAAGCACCCAGAGACACCCACTGCAAATATTATATGTAGTATTTACGGATGCTTCTGAAAATTTCTTATTTTAAATCCCCTCCAATGATATCGTTTTCACCAGGCTCTCCCAAAGATACTCAAGCATAGTGATCCCACCAAGTTTGGCTATTCAAAATAGCATATTAAATTAGGAATTTCAAGCCCTGTGTCAGACTGTTTGTTGAAATTTGCTGAAGGCTCTTATTTTAATAACACTCTTCCATTGTGCAACCTGGAATGTGTGGATGTAAGAGCTGTTATGGAATTCACCTCCCGCCTTAAAACAGAAAATAATCCAGTTACTTTGTTTGAACATGCTGAGTGCAACTTAACAGCTGCTACCAATTCCTGGGACAATATGATAAAATATTGTTTTACAATTCTATCTTCTAGTCCAAGGATTTTCAAATGGGGAGAGGGGGGAGAGGGAGCACAAACAGATTACTGGACAAGCCCTTGACAAGACAAGATGGTGGCACACATGGGATATTAAACTAAGAAGGGGGGTGCAGTGCGATAAAGTTTGAAAACCACTGTTCTAGTCCATGAGACGGAGACGGAGTACTTCATATCTAATCTTCTGTAGTCGCTAAGGCTTGTGGTAAGAGTTTTTGATCCCTATTTCCTTGCAAAAATCGTGTAGGATTTGCAGCCCAAAGTGCACAAGGAAATGCTCCGAGACAATAACCAATATTGACAGTTCCTAAACGTTTCAACCTCATGGTCTGGTAGAATACTGCATGTTAAGATTCCCACAGCTATCAACGGCTCAGCTTTGTTACACAGTTCATGCTCTATTCATACTTAAGAACATCTTTACTAGTATCATACAGTAAATCTATAGATCAAATTGATTATAATAAACAATTTAAACAGACCAATGTCCTTGTTTTTTTTAAAAAAAGTTCCTATTTACAACCCTTCACAAATTTGATGCAAAGTAATTCCAGTAGTTATAGGAAAAAATACTGTACTTCTGCACAAAAACAAATTGCACTTGCAATATATAAACTATATATATTTTTCACCCACAAAATAGAGTCAATTCACTTTAAAGTATATTCTGTGAAGTGCTTTGTGACATCTCAACAATAAAAGGGGCCATATCATATGCAACGATTATTATTATGAGTATGTACATATAATACATAATACGTACACTCACAAATCTAACAGTATGAAAATTATAAAAAAAACTAGAGCAGCAGAAAATAATGTCCATCTTTGATAGATCTAAGCAACAACAAAAAAATGACATTTATAGAGCGCCTTTCACGTCGGGAGGATGTCCCAAAGCGTTGAACAGTCAGGTGTCGGGGCCCGAGCATGGGGGAGGGGTGAGGGAAGGCAGAGAGGTGGAGGGCAAACAAAGGCACAGTCGAAGAGGAGGGTCTCGAGACTGGCCTTGAAGGAGGCAAGGGAGGAAGCAAGGCAAAGGGACCATGGGATGGAGTTCCAGAGTGTGGGGGCAGAGAGGCTGAAAGCCCGGCCACCGATGGTAGGGCGGGAGACATGGAGCAGGCCAGAGCCCGCTGAACAGAGGGAGCGGTCAGGTTGGTAGGGAGTCAGCGGGTCAGAGAGGTAGGAGGGGGTAAGGCCATGGATGGCCTTGAAAGTGAGGACGAGGATCCTGAACTCGATCCTGATGGGGTCATGGAGCCTGGTGCGCGCGAGAGCACACAAGCTGCAGAGTTTTGGATGATCTGCAGCCTGTGAGGGGAAGAGGAGGGTGTTCCCGTAATCGAGCCTTGATGTGACGAATCCATGGAAAAGGGTTTTGGCAGCCTGAGGGTGAGGCAGCGGCAGACTGGTAATGTTGTGGAGGTGGTGGTAGGCAGTACCGGTCATGGCACGGATGTGGGGGAGAAAGGACAGTTCAGGGTCAAACAAGACAACAACAGTAAGATTAAATTTGTATAGCGCCTTTCACGTCGGGAGGACATCCCAAGATACCCAGGTTCCTGATTGGCTTAGTGAGGTTGAGTGTGCAGCCGTAGCTGCTGATGCTGCCAGCGCTAACAGCAAAATAAATGATCTTGCAAAGTGCAGGTAATTAACAGAAAATAAATATATTGACTCAAGATTCTGCTCATTTCTTCAGCCTTTTAAGTTTCAAAAAGAGTTTGAAAAACCAAAACATAAACCTGCAGAGCACGTGACTCCATCAATCTCATGCAAAACAATAACCTGACTTGAATGGTTTGTCAGTTTCCTGGCTTTCAGCAAAGATTACGCATAAATCAATAGATAGAAATATCCAAGATACTGAAGACATGCCGCAGGACACTGCTGTCTTTAAGTATTTGTGCAGTCAAACTGCATAAACCAACGTTGACAAGACAGCCATACTGACACATGAAGAGGTG